TGCCCACTGCCTCAGGCATCAGCACAGAGGGGCAGTGGGACCCACTGAGCACCAGGGAGGATCAGCAGCTCATGGAAGGGAAGAGCAGCCCATTTTTACAAGAAATTCAGCTTTCCAGTGGCACCCAGGGATACAGAGCTGTGCTGCCCAGGCAGAACCGATTGCTGACTTGTAGGGAGGGAGCTTTGGATTTGTGAAGGGACAGAGAAGCACAGGACCACCCGCAACAAACCTGGGGGCTCATGTACAGAGCCTGGAGTGATGTTTTTCCCCTTTGCAATTTCCCAAAGGATACAGAGGGCATGTGAAATCCTGTACATCCCACAGTCCCTCCTCACTGCGTGATGTACAAGCAGCCAGCTTGGACATCCTCACTCCAAGCAAGGCAGGGCAGGACGAGCAGTGGGCAGGAGGGGGTATGGTGGAGACCCCCTCCTCTGCCACATCCCTGCACTGCCTTCTCACTCGCGCTGCCCTCTCCGCACCGTCCCATGCTGGCTCAGTCCGTGCCGGGCTCGGCCCCCTCCCAGGCAATGTGGCGAGAACGTGGTGTTCCCGGTGTTCTGGGCTTGCCATGTCCCACGGCGTGACAGTTGCCTGGAAACCGCCTCCGGCTGACACTGCCAGCCGTCCCAGATTCAGCCAGCCCTGCGCTCCCTTCCCTTGCGCTAACAAGATGGCCGAGGGGAGCCGGGGCTCGCGGGGAAGAGGAGGAGGAGAAGGAGGAGGAGGAGAGCTTTCCAGCCCGGCTGGCGAGCTCGAAGCCCTGCAGAAGGAGCCGGGTGGAGAGGAGCAGATGGCTTCCCCAGGGAAAGGAACACGGCGTCTTGCTCTGTGAGGCTTGCTGGATCCAGTCCGGACATACGGTTCGGAAAGAAGGTGCCTAGGAAGGGTTGTGGCTGGAACACAGGATCGTTAGGTCATTGCTTAGCAAAAAAAACCACTGACAAAAAACATGTGCTAACCGCTCGCATCAAAGGAGCTGGGCTTGGCTCTCGCAGGAGGGCCACAGATTTCTTTATTCCAGAGCCAGCCTAGGAGAGCAAGGAGAGCGGGAGACCCCATCCTTCCAGTGCCCCAGGCCAGCTCCAAACTGGGCTGGGGTGGATCAAAACCTCCCTCCCACACCCTAGAGCCAGACAGGGACCCTACAGTGTGAAGCTCCTCTTCTGACCGGGAGTCCCATCCCTGGGCTAGGGGAGTTCACAATCGTCCCCTCTGCCCTGATTTAGCATCCCACTGGAAAGCAGAGGCAGGGGGATCAGGTGGGGCAGTTGCCACCTTCAGCATTTCAGTGCTGACATTATTAACCAAAAGCTTTTTCAGGGACTCGGACACAATCCCACAGCAATGGGGAAGAGCTGGAGAGCTTCAAAGCCTGTCCCCATTGCCTGACAGTATGTCATACCTTGTTGCCATGACATCATTGCAGAGAAGCAGTTGAGTTTGCACCTTTCTTCCCATCTCCCCCCATCTTCCCAGCACTTCCCTCCCCTCCCAGCAGGTTCGAGTCACCCTTGGGGCAGATGAGGAGCTGTGTATCCAAGGACATTTCCACTGCTGGCACCAAGTCAGGACTCCCCAGCAGCTGATAATGATGTTGCCCATCTCCCCTCAGCAGGGAGGGATGAAGTCACGAAGCACAGCCCTCTGAGCTGCTATCGCAGGTTTCTGGGACAGGCAGATAGAAAGGGTCATTTTGGCTGGCACCGATGCATCACCCTGCGCTTTTCATCTCCTTTTCTATATCTGACTCAGCCCGATGCTTTGATGGGTAATAGCAGCAATATGCAGGGGGCAAGAAATGAGAGGGAGAGGAGAACACAATAGCAAGCCGCCTGTTGCCAACTTCCCCTGCTTTCTGCTGAAAATTCATAACGCAAAAACCTTCAGCAAGAGACTGTAGATTTATAGTCAAAACCAGATAGGCCCTGGCAGCTCCAAAGCATCAGCCGCAGAGGAGTCTCTTGCAGGAAAACACAAAGCAAGGGACCATCATCTCTGATCCATGGACGATGCTCCCCTGAAAATTAAAGGCAGGCCCGAAAGTGTGCCAGTTCCACAGCAAAAGGAGAGTCTTTCTTCTAACACACCGGGGCCAGCGCAGCACAGCTCAACTGGCAACGGCAGGAAAATTGATCTGTCTTATTGAACACTCGCCTGACACACGCCGCTGAATTTTGGGAAGCTGAGGCTTGTGCTTTGCATGCAGCACCAACGATGGGCATGCAAACCAGCTAAGATGGGTTGGCTTCCTCGTGGTTACTTCTTGTGGGAAAAGCGTTACCCTTGGAAACAAAAATAGCCTGCCACTCTCCTGTGAGCCACCTTGCGCTTACCTTGGGGGAGTTACAGTGTGGGAGCTGACTGGCTGCAAATTCACACCTAGCTCACCTCAATCTGTTTGCACGCTCATGCTTCCAGGAGGCTGGGGAGGGGTCAACGTTCACCTATTGCCGATGCGGGTCATGGAGACGTTAGCTTTGGTCAGCTGGTGGCCAAAGAGATAACAGACCAGCAGCGAGGCCAAAAGATTGTGTGCTGAGGTAAGCAGCTCCCTGTGACCATCTGCAGGTCAGCACAACCCTGCAGAGATTCCTGTGACCAGTGTGTCTGTGCATGTGCACACAGCAGTTAATTATTCATTAGTATGAAGGAGGCATGATTAAAGTGACTGTGGTATGGCTGACAGTATCATCATGCTCCAACGTGGGGCATTCCAAAGACACTGGCTTTACCTTTTCCTCCGAACTTAGAGGAGGCAGAAAGTTGTGGAAGAGAAAATCAGCTTTTCCACCTGCCAGCTGCAGAAAGTGCCAGCCAACAGTGCTGTCTGCCTGTAAAGCAGCCAGCTGGAGTGAGACACAGTAACCACACCAAGAGACCGCTCACAGGAGTTGGACTCTTCTGCACTGCACAATGCTCCTGCCACTGTGGTCCACTGCACAGGGCAGGTGTTATGGTACCAACTGCCTTATGGTACCAGTTATGTGTCCCCTCTACCTTGAAAGTCCCCTTCACCCGATCGTATGTGAGCGGACGTGGGGCCCAGCCAGCATAGATGGCCCAAATTTGAAATAATTTCCAGCTGTCTTCAGATTACTACAATTCCTGGCTTATATAAGAGCTCCTGACGTGCTGAAATGGAAGAAGGACATCTTTAGCATCACACCGAGGTTCTGAGAAGGAACAAAAGGAACTGTAAAACTCTCCACCAGTTTGATCCACCACAGGCACTAACGCAGAAAGGTCTTTCAGAACTGAACTATGGACTAGACTGTGGCCTCTCATAAAACACGAGGTGCCAGTGATACTGCTGGCAATGTTCTCAGAGGAGTCTGAAAAATCAAGGAAGCCACAAATGCGAGACCCCAGAGGTCAGAGCGGAGGCGTACTGGCTGGGCAGAGGACACAGGTACACTCCCTTGCTGCTACTTCAACAGCTGTGTGGACTGAGGACTTTCACCAGCAGAACTGTGGACCTGGCAACCTTCCTCAGCATCGTGGCTTGCACTGGTGAAAGGAATTGAACAGGGAGGATGAGAGTGTAACTCTGGTGCCTACGAGTCACCCAGGAAACGTGCAGGATGGACACTTGCCACTGCCCTCCACCTGAGCTACACCACTGCTTACCTTACTGCCTTGTGTCCTGAACTACTTTTCCTTTTCATCCTCCACTTTGAGATTTTCATTTTAGAACACACACAGAGAAAAGGACATTTTACTAATTTTTTATTGTAAAAACACAGTTCCCCAGATTTATATAAATAAGCCATATACGTAACATACAATTACGTTCATTCCATCCTCCAACTTTGACAGCTCTAAAAAATGAAACAGGCTAAAAGTAAGCAAGTCCAAAAAGACATTAGGTTTCTGATGACCAAGTGATATCTCACATGGAACCTCCTTCCTCTACCAGCCTCCAAACAAGATGCTGAAAGTACACAGCACTTGCAACACCCCCGAGAACTGACAGGGAGGCATCCGAGCCTTATGAAGAGTTCTCACCCACTCCCCAGGCAGCGTCAGCCGCCTGTGTTTTCATGCTATCTCAGTGTGTGGTGGGTGAGAAAGGAGTGGGCAGTTTGCATAGCAACCTCCTACACCCAGGCAGCTCAGCTGTTGTACCGTCCCAAAACAAGCAGGGAAGGGCAAGGGAAGCCGAGCCTGCTTCCCTGTGGCTAACACCTCCACGGGCAGCCTGAAGGAAGAGCCTTGGCACTGCCAGTTCCATACAGACATCTTGGAAAGGGAGAAGAAAGTATTCTTGGCATTCAGAGAGAAAGGTGCCGGTCAGAGCCATACCACATGGCAGTGGGGAAGGCAGAGAAGAGAAGACATGACATGGAACAAGTGGGAGGGAAAAAAAACAACAGATAGCACCTTTTCCCTTTCACTTCCCCCTCCTAGCGCTACTGTATGGCTCTGCAGCATGTCGTGACATTGCCTACTCCCCACCCCCTTCCTGCTTCAGCTCAAACACCAAGGGAAGAGCCACAGACAGATGAGAAAGCCCACGAACAGGGACAGGACAGCTGAGCAAAATTATACACACACACGCACCAACTACACGTATCCCATGGAACTGTTACATCAGTATGAAAAAAAAAATAAAATCCTGAGGTTTAACTATTAAAAATAAAGCCCCACCTCCAGATTGTACAAAACCTGCCAGGAGAAGGAAGAAACTTCTCGTACGCGGTGAGTCTGGGACCCGGACAGATGTCAGGAGCACTTCCAGACACACACGGCCAGGCTGCCACCAAAGAACATGTAGAGCAGATTCTTCACCTCGTGAGTGATCTCAAAGCCAAAACCTTCCCCAATCACCACATGCCAGGAGGACCCAAATTTCTTGTCCATCATCTCTTTGATCATCTTGGCAGCGCTCTGGAGAACGTTAAGCAGGAGAGCATATGGTGAGACAAAGCAAGCAGTGAGTTTCTACGCAAACATCCCCCGAGTCTTCTTCTCCCTTTATCAGACTACTCAAGCCATGGGCAACAGGTATAGCAGCTGCACTGCAGGAACTGGGAGCTCCCCAGAGCTACACCCAAGGGTAAAACAGGTCTCTGCACTTGCAGCAGCCTCCGACACAGCAGCTAGGAGAAATTAAAGAACTGCAACCAGCAATCACTTCTCCAGCTCACACAGCCTGAAGCAAGAGTTCTGGTTTAGATGCTGATGGAGTTACGCTGGGTGCAGTCAGTGTGAGAGGAGATTCAGGTCACTAAGCTGGGGCTATTTTTACAGGAGTCCATTTTTTTTTTTCTCCAGCTAATTATCAAAACACTGAAACTAGGCTGACTTTTAAAAAGCTTGCTTCCCCCAGATCACACCCTGCTTGAGCTAAAAAAGGAGAGAGGAAGATTTTGCAGTGACACGCTGTGTCTCAGGCAGGATGGGACAGAAGGAATCTCTGGCTTCATAGCTTTGCCTTGCTCCAACACAAAACTGCTCCAGCAACAAGCAGTCTGTGCCCTGCCCATGGAACAAGGTGTGTTCTCCTTTATCTTTGGCTCTCAAAGTTAAAGCAAAACCTTTCCAAAGACCATAACTTCGGCATCACCCCCACTTATATGGTCTCAGTAATTTAATTCAGGAGGCTGAAAGCCGAGAGGGAAGACTTAACAGACTGCATCTAAAGGTTCAAAGACCTTCATGTGCTCACCCAAAACCAGGAGTCTCTTCCCCACTCTGGTGGGGATGGCCTTGCTCAACACTGAAGGGCAGACAGGAAGGGCCCATCTCCACACAGTTCTGAACCAAGCCCTCAGGACACAGGCTGTTTTATGAACAGACTGGAACCATGTCACAGGCAAGGCAGGACCAGGAAGGAGGTAACATTTGGGAGGTGGCATTGCTACTAATCTCTGCTTCCTGCAGCAAAGCAAAGTGCTATTATAGATCTTGCTGACAAAGGGAACCAAATCGGAGGTCTAGCCAAGCTCTTTGTCTTCTTCTACCCCTGCTCAGTGCAGAAAGAGAGCAATAGGATGTGAGGGTCTGACTCCACCCTGCCCCACACCCCTAGCCCTGCTGCTGCAGGTGCCCTGAGCCGCAGGAACTGAAGGCTGGCCATTTTGGGATTCAGCTAGTACCTCGTTGTTGGTGGCGTATTTCTCACAGGCTGTGACACACAGCTCCATGGCCTCTACACGCATCTCCTCCGGCATGTCTGTGTGCTGAAAAGAGCAAACAAACAAGAGGAACTAAGCAGAAAACATATGAGCTAGACACAAGACTTAGTGTCTAGTATTATACTTATAGTCTAGTACTATTACACAACAGTAAGTATTGTGGTTGGACTAGATGATCGTAACGGTCTTTTCCAGCCAAGCTATTCTCTGATTCTAAGCAGCCCTTACTTTTGTGCTGGCGGAGGCCGAGATTGCTGGGCGTGGGCAAAAGGCAGCGAGTCCACGTGACTTTAATGATTGCTTCAAGGTGGGAAGCATCACCAGCAACACAGGCTTGTCAGTACACCGAGCCTTTCCACTGTTTCAGAGAATGGCAAATACAAAAATGCCCTATTGCATTACAGGCTATCTATTCGTCCCCAGCCAATGCAGAATTCTTCTCTACCTAATGTTGAGACTAGCACTAAGTTAGCACAGCTTAAAGGAGGAGATAATACATTTGTCAGTTTTTCTGTTATAAGATGAAGGGAAAGCATGTTAATACTGCTCCTCCAGTCACAGTCCTTAATTATTGCTGTAAGCATAACAAAAAAGGCTAAATTACACTTTTTCTTTTCCTGCTATCTGGCTGGTTAGCAAGATCTTTTACTCTAGCTCCCCCAGAAAAAAAGCAAACTGCATCCAGAACACAGAAGAAGGCTCCAAAGGCAGCATGTTCAATCTACTAGATGGATAACTTTGCCCCAGGCTTCCCCTGGCTGATGGGGGGAACAAAGGTGCTGATAAATTCCCTTGGCAGAGGTCAAGGAGAGGGACAAAGCAGTGGTGATGACCAGGATCCCTCCGCAGGACCATCAGTACACACGGCTCTCACAGCAACTACTCAGTGGGAGAAACTCTAGTTTGGAAGGCTGTGAAGGAGGAAGGTAGAATTTCCTGTCTGTAACACTGGTAAACGCCTAATCCATTCCCTCTTCTTACCCTAATCAGTGGAAAGCTGTGAAGTCTTTTATAATCAGCCTCCTCCTTTTTCCCCTCCCCAGTGTCTGCCATGGTCCTTCCACAGTGACCCCGGGAAGGAGTGGAGGGGCTGCCTGGAGCTCAGCGAGGTCCTTTGGCACAGACAGCAGAGAGGATCACGGCTGTGTGAACACGGGCAGAGCAGCGTCAGCAGGACGGGAAACTTCTTGGCCCAGAGGACACTGCTTGAACAAAAACAAACACAGGAAAGAGGAAAAAAAGCTTTGAATTAAAATGAAAGGCCAATAAAACTATTAGGAGAATATTGTCCCATCTCGGTTACTTGCTGTTTCTCAGGACCATCTTCACACGCCACGCACTTAAGACTGTTATTTTACAGACCATTAATGCAAACAAATTTAAAAAACCATATCATTTTCCATAAACGAGGCTTCAAAAGCACAGCATTTCCCAGAAGCACCAATCAAGCTCGAGCGAAGAGCCGAGCCAGGGTACAGCTTCTGATGAGGAAGGAGAGAACAATACTTCAGCCATTAGGTCTATTGATTAATTCCAAAAGGATTTTCCCAGGACGCCGTTATCCACGAGGGTTTCAAACTGCGCATGACAAGCACAGGGTAAGAGTATTTTAGGAACAGGATCAGTGTACATGTCTAGACAGAAATATTTAACAAGAACATCTTGGTCTGGTTTGTGCACTTGCTTCTCACATCCCCAAGCATTTGTCAGCCGAGGGGGATGGTCCATATGGGAAAATGCCTCTAGGTCTAATCACCAACCAGCCTCTTCTCGGGCAATGCAGAGGCACAGCACTGTCCGACTGGCAGATTCGGATCATTTCACCATGGTCTTCCCTCTGGTTCTCTCATCCAGAACAAAACACCTTCCTCTCCTACCCAGGTGATCCCATATTAAAGGGAAAACAAAACAAACACGGTGTCAGGCAACACCACACAGACCAAGCATTTACACCAGGTGTGTAGAGTTACAGAATCATAGAATGGTTTGGGTTGGAAGGGACCTTAAAGATCATCTAGTTCCACCCCCCTGACATCAGCAGGGACACCTTCCACTAGACCAGGTTGCTCAAAGCCTCATCCAGCCTGGCCTTGAACACTTCCAGGGAGGGGGCATCCACAGCTTCTCTGGGCAACCTGTTCCAGTGTCTGACCACCCTCACAGTGAAGAATTTCTTCCTAATATCTAATTATATCTACCCTCTTTCAGTTTGAAGCCATTTCCCCTTGTTCTGTCACTACCTGCCCTTGTAACAAGTCCCTCCCCAGCTTTCTTGCAGGCCCCTTCAGGTACTGGAAGGCCGCTAGAAAGTCACCCCGAAGCCTCCTCTTCTCCAGGCTGAACAGCCCCAAGATGCCGGCTAAAGCACCAACTCTGACAGACTACCAGTGCTCACACGAGGGACTGTGGGACTAGTAGATGTCCCAACCACAAGCTCCACAGGACAGCACAGCTGCCTGGCTGGCGCCAGCCTCTTGCGACGGGGCAAACCCCGGAATGCACTTCAATACCCAGCTCCTCGCTGTGACGTGCCCGGGGCCACAGACCAAGGCAGGCCGCGGGGGGCTGCCTCACGGT